AGAAGGGGGAACATTCCCTCCTTAACTTAAGGTATAGGGAGGAAATGCAGAATTGCGGCACAAATCTAAACGGCTCGACCTAGGCTCGTGATAGTCGGTGTATATAGCATCATGGTAGGAAAAGCCATCACTGTGCCGAAATTGGAAATCACAGGTCAAAGGTCAATGGGGCACAGGGCAGATTTTAGACATTTTCTGAGGACATGGTCTGACGGAGCGATTGAAAAACTTTTTTGTTTCAGCGGTGACCTACCATTTTTATGGCTTTATTGAAAGGACCATGAAATGTACTTTCCGCTGACATGTGAAGAGTAAGTGTCGGATAACCTTTTGACCCTCAAGAGGAGGGTTAAACATGGATTTGTTTATTATTCGAAAGAATTTTACTGCCGGGTTTGCTAGTAGAATCTATACATGCCTGGACGTATGAGGCTACAATGTCACAGTGAAATTTCAAAAGCTAAATTTGGTTGAAGAAGGTTTATGCTCCTTAAATCGTATAATTTCTATGGCATTCTGTACTGTCAGTGTGTTACATGTAACTTATGCCACTGCCAGTAGCCACTGCCAGTGCATGTGGTGGTGATAGTACTGTGTAGTTTTTGCCTGCGTTAACTAGTTACAGGTGGCAGCTCTCTATTTCACCCTGTAGGCTTGCGTAAGTAAATGGATGAGTGCTTACCTATATTCTGTCTTGCAAATAGTTGTTGCTACTACGTACGATGGGAGCTTGCATCTTTAATCTTAAGACACTTAAACGTACGCGGCATCTACTATGTATGTGCGGCGGTTATGACCCCTCCTTTTCACATATTTCCCATCTGTGCACATATGGTAATGTCCTACTTTTTTCCGCACATTCTGGAGATCCCCTCTCGCAAACTTTTCCAGTTCTGGAGCATCATGCATGCTTTCCAGCAAACCCTAGTTCCGGAGACCCCCATTTTGATGTGCGCTGTTAGTACTGGAGCTTCCCAATTCCATCTCTCAAGTGGCACATACCTACCCTATTTTGTAGGGAGTGCCCCCCCCCTGGGGTGTTACCTTGGGGTAGACTTGGTATTTAAAAATGCTATTGTTATGCACATCAATTACTGAGATTTCAGTCATTGTTTCTTGTGGCAAACAGCGTGCATCACATCCTCTAAAATCACATCCGTCGGCATGATTGCAAATATCTCTTATAGGTATAAAGTTCTTATGTAAAATATTTAGATACCATGTTTACTCTACTATTTTGCTCTCACATTGAAGCCCTGCCACTTCTGCAGGACATTAAGTTTGTCATAAGTCGAAAAGTGGCATAGTTTATTAGGTCGGTTTTGTCGGTGTTTGATCATTGATTATATCTTTTTAGGCGCGGTTGCAAATGCAGCACTGACGTTCACTGTTGTTCACTGATTCAGTGAATAAAGTTATCCATCATCATATATCAATAGCAAAAGAGCCAGGCTACTCTTGCTGGATTTGCAGAGGGGAAGGGGGAATGGTTATTTTTGGGAAGTGGGATTGGACCATTTCTTGGAACTGTGGAATACCGGATGTGGATCAGTGCTGGAGTGATTCGAGAATACAAGTCAACTTCAACTGTGGAAAGTCGAAACTGTGGAAACCGGGAACTGGAACATGGCTTATTTTTTTACATGGAAAACTAGGAAGGGATCCCCATGTAGCTGTAGTGATGGAATCTAGTTGATAGTGTTAAAATTACCTTTCTGGTACTACAGCGCCTACAAAATTCTGTGTAGAAAGATGAGGGACATTTCACAACTTGGCAGTGACAGATTTTTAAAGAATTACAGGAAATGTTTTGTACGAGCATGCACTGTCAAATAATGCATGTAATTCCTGCCAGAAAATGCACACACACACAGCTTCACTTTACTCTGCAACTGTTTCTTATGCCCTGCATTTTATTTTTTTTAACTTCTATAAGAAAATTCATAAATGACTGCCGATTTTGAAATGTTATTACACTGTAATCCTAGATTAGTTTCTGTATCAAAAATGCGTTTTCCTACAAAAGACATGCTAACGCTGCTTATAATTCGCGTATAATTATTATTATATTAGGCAGCAGATGAAGAATCACTTCGCTCTTTAGAAGCGCTTATGGAGGAATTTTTCAGCCCAACCACAACTAATGAAAAGAAACGCCAGATTGGTAAATACCCATCATTCAAGCAACTCGAATATAGCAATAAAATACGATCTTTTGAATAAAATTATGTATAATTGATTAATTTCATACATTTTAATACTAATTTATTCTAAATTAGTGTTTAAAGCGATCAACGGCTACAAGTTACACAATACGGCTAAACAAGCATTTCATTTTTTAGAAGAATTGCTGAACAACTTTAGTCAACAACGTGGATCATGGAAGCACTGCCTTTATTTTTTGACAAATACCTCCAACGAGTACGTGATGATGTTTTGCCTCACTGTGATAGAGGTGAGTTTTATCGATAATTTATAATTTCATAATGCAAAAAGCTCTTAAAATATTAGCACTGCAGTGCATATTGTGATTCCTAGCTTCATCAATTTCTGATAAATAAAATGGCATATTGAAAGAACCCTTCACAGTTTCTAGTTTTGTATAGTGCCAATCACCAACAGCTAAAAAATCCCTATCATATTACATATATATGTGATTGCAGTCCAACTGCTAGGATCATCAATAGCTGTTAGACATGGCGCTGAAGAATGAAATGTGTTGATAATGCAATGATATTAGAGTCTAGCATGGAGAGACGTTTCTAAAATTATAAACATCTCCTTACTATTGTTAAATCTGATGTGCAAATGTGATTTTGTTATCTTGCAGAACATAATAAACAGGCAATGGATAAGCTTTGCCGGTCCAGAGAAGATGGAGTTACGAGGCTCGCTGTCCAAGTTCATGCTGTCTCATCATGACCATGTTCCCAGCTTCATTCGCAATAAGTTGGTGAAGCTGGTTGTTGATATAGGGCGCCTAGACTGGCCACACTTTTATCCTGATTTCTTCACGAGTATAATGCAGGTATGCACCGTTTATAAGCTATCAGGTGCATGCCATGATTACACATGTAATGAAATGTGAATAAGATGGAGTATCATATGTTATCAGACAACACCATTGACAATATACTCTCTCAATATAAGTAATAAAATAATTATGCAAAAATACACATACACTGCAAAAATTATAATTCCATTACCACTCGAATGCAATTACTAATTTTCACAAATTTTGTAGATAAGTTGGAAGCTACAAAATTTCCCAAAAGTACTTGCACACAATAATTATTGTAGAAAGGTCTTAAGTAGTAAGGTTCTGTGTGATATCTGAAGCTTTGCCTGAGATTGATGCAACCGTAACTCCTATATTTCTATGTCTATATTAATATAGCTCTGGGTTTGTGATATAATTTTCTTTAAACCCAGTTATATTGTTCATAATACTTGATAGTGCGTAAGATATTCATATGCATTTATCTTATCTGAAAACAGCACGAACAGTAGTACACACTATGGCATATATCTTATAATTTGCTAGTGTATGTCAACTCAAATTGGATAAGAGCTTCAAATTTTTCTTGGCAGCTGGTTCAACAGCCACAGACCATGGTGTTGGGGTTGATTCTCATCAAAACAACATCAGAAGAGATGATTAGTCCAAGGGAGGATCTAAGCGTATCAAGAAAGGAGGAATTGAGAAAGCTACTTCTCGATCAAATGGCAATAATCCTTGGCAATCTCACAGGTAAGGTCATGCTGTCTAAATAGAAATCAGTCAAAATCTTGGTTAATAACAATCTTAGAATTATTGTTCTGTTCGATTAACATTATACAATTACAGTTTTTGTATCAGTAATCTTTTACACTATGCCAATCATGTTCTCCTGTTAAAACCCATTGCTCTACTACTGCATTGTTTAGGTAGCATTTCTTATTCTCTGCTTTCTTTTGAAACATAATCATATCATATTTTGACTGCGAAAGCAACCTAGACAATGCCGGTTCCCCCCACTGATGATAAAAAATAGATTACCAGTTTGTCATTTGCACAAAAATGGTGCGAGATGGCTCTTGAATTGTCATATTTCAGTAATTCTGGAGTCTACATTGGAGAAGCATAGACACCTTGCCACGGCAACACCGCCACCTTCTCCATCGCGCGACAGTGACTCTCGTGACAGCCTCTCCATGTTTTCTACATCTCCGCTGCACTCTGGTGAGCGACATTTATCCATGGTGTTCGTAGCCTAATCATAAGACGTTGTGCAACCTTGCGTGTACGTCAATTTCTGATGCATTCATAAGTCCTTTTTTTACTGAAATCACATTCACCGTTGCTGTAACAGAGTTGCATTAACACGTGTTATAATATGGAAAGGTGTTCAGGAAATCGTACTCTATTCGAATTTCCACTAAAACTTGGTGTACACCTCCAGATGATGTTCTCAGCAAGATGTTCAAGTCGCTGCACAAAGACAACCTGGAGTCACTGCCGCCACTTGATGCTGACTCGCAGAGTGTGTGCATGCTCGTGCTAGAGTGTCTCTCGCACCTATTCAGCTGGATACCACTGTCGGCCATGATCACATCCAACCTGCTGGCTGCCATCTTTCATTTCGCAAGCTTTGGTTGCGAACCGAACCTGAGTAGCTGCAAGGGTACTGAGCTCGGTGTGCTGGCAATGACCTGCATTAACGAGGTGCGTGCTGTCATATACCACGTTTAATGAAGCCTCGTTTAAAGGAATTTTGTTTAAAGGACTAGAAAATATACATAGTAATGATTCTGTATCCAGTAAATATACTGTGGATTAGTGTCTGTAATACCTCTATGAAAAACACTAAAATAGTAGTGAGAACAAACTAATCATAATTTACTGCACCACTTTTGTAGTTTACCTTCTGCTATATTGAGGTAAACAAGGTTAGTAGCCCCTGTATAGACATAGCATGGCTGGTCGTATATCCATAGGCTTTAACTATAATGATTTTGTTTAGAAGATGTTTTGCTTGACAGACAAACTTTAAGAATCTGTCTCCTATAGAATTGTGTAGCTGCTAAAGGAACACTTTAGGGAGGAATGGAAATAAATTTGTTAAGCAATATAGTACTAAGTTAGCTGATTCAACATTCCGGCTCCCTCTGCGTTGTAGATTATGGCAAAGAACTGCGTTCCAGCAGACTTTGAAGAGTTCTTGCTGCAGATGTTTCAGCAGACGTTCCAACTGCTGCAGCGGCTGACACGGGAGAACACTAGCAATGTCTCTGGGAGTATGCTCACTGAGCTTAATGAAAAGTAGGCCACTATGCAGATGCTGACTACCATATCAATGTTGTAACATGGGCTGGTCTTGTAGCTAGAGCATTAGTCGTGATAAAAGTGCTGAGAATGTTTCTTGTGAAAGTGACTGCAAGCACTGCAATGTGCAACTGTATGTGATGAACATTATTCCTATTTTATCTGCAGCTATATTGAGAAGTTCACAGACTTCCTGCATCTGTTTGTGAGCATCCACCTGCGTCGGTTTGAGTCAAATAACCGATTTCCCGTTTTGGAGTTTCTTGCATTGCTGTTCAAGTACACCTTCAAACAGCCAACCAACGAAGGTACTATAGTAGTAGAGGTAGTCAGCTACAATTCTTTAGAGGTGAAAGCTAAAATTAGTCATGGTAGCTAGTGAAACCCAGTATTAATGGAAAGTCTGAATAAGGGTACAATAGCCAAAATTTTCTACAGGCGAGGTAAATAATTTTGTTAGTTATGCCAAGTTAGAAGTTAAAAGTCTGTTAAGTAAAATTGGGGCCCTGTGATAACCTTCCCTAGTAGAAAGGGGAGAGTAGCACACTGCCTAAAGCCATCTTGAACTCCAATAAGTTCCTATTCCTTGTATAATTACTAACGCTGTAAAAAATATCACTAGATGTCAAAGAACAACTATAGCTCCATATATCTTATTGGATATTTGCTTATGGTTAACCCTGTTCCAAGTTTTTATAATTGCATAGAAGTATGATGCATGTTCTTCGATAATTGCTAATGGCTAGGCTTGTTGGGTGTTATAATTGCTTTGAGATTTGGAGCACGTGTCTCGATGATTGCTAATAGGCAGCATTGTTTCAGGGTTTTATAATTGCCTTGGGATTTGGAGCGTGTGTCTCGATGATTGCTAATAGGCAGCATTGTTTCAGGGTATTATAATTGCCTTGAGACTTGGAGCGTGTATCTCGATGATTGCTAATACATAGCATTGTTTTAGGGTTTTATAATTGCCTTGAGATTTGGAGCGTGTTTCTCGACTACCTAGATGTACTGGTGAGGAACCGGTCTGTTGACAAGCTAAATCTACTCGATAGATACAAAGAAGCGCTTGCATCTCTGGTCACACAGCTGCTACGCAAGCTCCAATTCAGATACAACCAGGTGAATAACATGAGTTCACCAATAGCTTCATGGTCTCCTTGATGCATAAGGCGAAAAAAGTCAGTGTGTGGAGTAGAATAGAAATCCTGTATCATTTTGTGAGAGCTTTAGTCACCCACTTGGGGGGGGGGGAGTGTGAGATTCTATGCGCACCAAAGTGATAATTTGCTTGGTGAAATATGATCCATTAGGCTAACAGGTTGGTTCAAAATTTCTTAACTGGGAATAAAGTCAAAGGTTAATGGGAAAACCTCAGTCATTTTGTACTTGAGGAAATACTGTATACGCTGTATATTTCGCAGTGGTTTAATTTTCACGAATTTCACGAACGTGTCCCCGACCGCGAAAATAACAACACGAGAATATGCTCTGATTTGGATCTCTTCACTGATTCGGGAATTAACCGACCGCGAAATTGTCCGTCAAGTCTGAATTCGCAAAAATATCTGTAAGCGAAAAATATTGCGTATACAGTAAGTAAATGATGAAGAGTTGCTAATGGTGTCTGATCTCAGCCAGGGGGCAAGCTACGGCTATTGGGGATAGCTACATGGTGAGCTGAGTTGTGTTGGGGACTGTCATAAGTTCATGAGAGTGGTTTAGAAGCCCTGACTATAGCTACGTGAGAGACAATGAGCTCAGTTTGGTTGTGTAACACACTCTGCTGCACTGTTCACAGTCTCAACTGGAGGAGCTGGATGATGAGACAGTCGACGATGACGCTGAGACTGAGTGGCAGCAGTTTCTGCGCCGATGTCTGGAGGTCGTGGCCAAGGTCGCCGAACTTGCACCAGATGAGACGTTCGCTCTCGTGGTGAGATTTTTCGACAGCCAGCACCTGCCGTCCACCTCAGATAGGTGGCACATAGCATAGAAGTGTGTCGTGGCCCTCTTTAGGTGAAGTACACTTAGAAGTCATAAACGCGAAATGAAACTTTATAGACAGAAAAAAATTGCATCGTTGCCACTGTTGCTTTTCATTGTTTGTGCGTACACGTGGTGCACTCATCCGCTCTCGTCATTGCTGTCGTCAGTACCGTGTCCTGCAGGAGAACATGGTGACGTACCTGGGGCTGGAGCACCATATCAAGCGTGACGGCGATCAGCGCTCGCTGACGATCAAGGCTGAGAACGACTGCCGGCGTCTGCACTGTGCGCTGCGCGACCTCTCGTCGTTCCTGCAGGCCCTTGGCCGCCTCGCACATCAGTTCATCGGCGAGCTTCTCCTCAGTCGCATGGCGGATGGCCTCGACATCGTGAAGAGGTGGGGTGTGAGTGTGTACCCCCCGCGCCACGCTGTGTTGCTGCCGTAGGGAGCCCCATCTTGTGCCGCCTGTTGCGTCTTGGTTCTCGCGTTCAACCCTTCTTTTGCAACCTCTTCTCTACAGCCCTCGTGTTTCACCTGACTCTTCTTTTTAGCTCATCTGACGAAGTCAGATGGAGCTTGTAGAATCGCATGATTGTCCGTGCGTGCGTTCGTGCGTGCATCCGTCAACAGTTGGGCACAAATCTAAATGGCTCGACGTACGGATTCGAAAGTCGGGACGTGGGGGGGGGTAATCCGAAAACGAGTTGGGATGTTGAAGCTGGTCAAAAGGTCACAAAGGTCAATTGTCAAGAGGTGTAAAAAAAGGGGGAACATTCCCTCCTTAACTTAAGGTATAGGGAGGAAATGCAAAATTGCGGCACAAATCTAAACGGCTTGACTTAGGCTCGTGATAGTCGGTGTATAGCATCATGGTAGGGAAAGCCATCACTGTGCCGAAATTGGAGGTCACAGGTCAAAGGTCAATGGGGCACAGGGCAGATTTTAGACATTTTCTGAGGACGTGGTCTGACGGAGCGATTGAAAAACTTTTTTGTTTCAGCGGTGACCTAGCATTTTTATGGCTATTGAAAGGACCATGAAATGTACTTTCCGCTGACATGCAAAGAGTAAGTGTCGGATAACTTTTTGACCCTCAAGAGGAGGGTTAAACATTGATTTGTTGACTGTTAACAACGGACTGAACTGCTTTTGCTATTATTAGAGCCCATACCTCTGTGAATGTGAGGCTACAGTTGCACAGTTTAATTGCAAAGGCAAATGTTTTTTGAACAAGGTTTACGCTCCTTAAATCATATTATTTTCTAAAGCAGTCTGTCTATAGCACCCTGAAGGCTGAATCAGTGAATGCTCGTGTGGGTAGGCAAAAACACGGGGCAGCCCATGGCTAGCACGTTTCTAATCATAATTGTTGCCTGCCAACCTGCAATGCACATGTGTCTGCAATGCATAGAGATTAGGTGGGTGCGAAAGTGTAGCTGATATATTTGTTCCAATTGACTACGAAAGTCAAACAAGAATAAAGAATTTTATGAAGCAGGAGAATGCGTCCTATTGATTGTATGGGTGATATAAGTCGATGTTATGTAAGGTGGATTATTAGATGATCATGTTTGCCATGTGTTTCAGCTTGTGCCATGCCGCACTATACGGCAGCAAGATGAAGTTGTATGAGATCACGACGCTGGCATCTGTACTACAGCCCGACTTTACTGAGGCGTAAGAAACCATTATCCGATAAACGTCGCTTAGCAAAAGTGTAGCTTTGTCTTGTTTATACGTGCCATATAAACGTCATGAGCATAATTAACATATATTAAGGTTATCTTGTAGCAGTTATGTCACAGTTGATTTTAATGCATATCAATTCATGTGAGTTGGCCTCATATTTGAAATGTATTGCACTAGCTCTGATCACAATTAATGGTGACATTAGTCCATGTTTACCTATTACTCACCCTACCACTACCTACTACCCACTATCAATCAATAGATGTGCAAAGTGGTGATTGTGTAATGTAATGCAACCATGTATCCAATTAGAATTGTGATTATCTTTAGATACTAACATAATGATACAATTGGTTAGGTGTGGAAATAGACCAGCAGCTAACCACACCATACAGTGTCGCTCACTGTGATTGGTTTCACAATGTTGTGGTGCTCTGGCTTGCAGTAACGCACAGACACTAGCAGCTCTGAAGGCCTACTCTCACTGGGTAGCTCAGTACTATGCAGAGATGCAGAGACAGGGGAAGGAGAATGACCAGCTGGCCACCCTCGTCACATCGACTATGGAGGCCATAACACCAATGCTTCAAGACAATGTAAGTCAGTTTTATTTGGTCACATTGTGAAACATTCCTGCACAAGTTTGTCATTAGTTTGGAATTGTTTGTTTGGTGTGAGGTGCAGCATGGGTATCTAGATAGTCGTGCATATTTGTGTATTGACCTTGGGCACGTTGTCACAAACAAAATTAACAATATTGTCTTTATCATTAGTGTTAACATTAAAATTTTCTCATAGACTGTTGACAGAAACATGATAAGGTTACAAGTGTCTCTTACACAGTGTATAGAGGGTCCAGTCTTTGAGAAAAAGTTAATGTTAAGACTGATTTAGTTTTTGACAGCGGGCTCCTGCTTTTTAATAGCTCAGAATTTTACAGTAGTGCAATATTTGTCAAGAACCTAAAAACTAAAGCTGGTAAAATATTCCTGGGAATGCTTCCTAGTTGTATTTTTCTTAGTGTAAAATGTGTTACGATACTTTCCATCGTGACCAAATTTCTGTTTTGTAGGTTCCAGAAAAGATCATGCAGTCTGCTGCTCACTTACTGCTCTCTGTTGCAACGACGATACGACCGTCTTTTCTTCTCGCCTTGGAAACAACGCAGACACTTTTCACTAGTGTCAGCCAGGGGGCATTGCTGACACTACCGATACAAGTACAGATGATATGTTTTCTTAAGCACCAACAATTTGTTACTGAATTTTTTTAACCTTTATTGCTGAATGGATATGAGTGGACATGTTTGTTTTAAGGTAATGAGTGAGAGCAGCTGAGAAACACTCAGCAGCACTGAAGCATTATGATAGTCAGAGAGCACACGGTTATGCGAGCGGAAAATCGTGTCTTGCAGTGCCGCTCATGAGCGTTATTCCCTCCTAGGTGCAGTTGCTGGTGTATCGGTCACTCTCCAACGTGCTGCTGCTCCCGTGGCCCAACGTACCCGATGGTGAGCAGAAGTGGCACATGCGAGCCGAACACCACCAGAACTTCATCAAGACGCTGATGTCACAGTACCGGCAGCTGCGTGGCGTCGCCGCCAACGACCACCAGCTGCAGCAGCAAGGTGAGAGAGATCGCGCGTTTGCACGTATAGTCGGGGCTGCAGCGTAACGCAGCCCCCGTCCCTTCGCGCTCCTATTTCAACATTGCATGTCCTTAGGAGGACACAGTAGAGTGGCGCCCCCACATGTTACTTGTACCTAGTTATATACAGTAGAGTGGCGCCCCCACATGTTACTTGTACCTAGTTATATACAGTAGAGTGGCGCCCCCACATGTTATTTGTACCTAGGAAGACATAGTATAGTGGCGCCCCCACGTTATTTGTACCTAGGAATATACAGTATAGTGGCGCCCCCACATTATTTGTACCTAGGAAGATACAGTAGAGTGGCGACCCCATGTTATTTGTACCTAGGAAGATACAGTAGAGTGGCGACCCCATGTTATTTGTACCTAGGAAGATACAGTAGAGTGGCGACCCCATGTTATTTGTACCTAGGAAGATACAGTAGAGTGGCGCCCCCATGTTATTTGTACCTAGGAAGACATATAGTACAGTGGCGCCCCCACGTTATCTGTACCTAGGAATATACAGTAGAGTGGCGCACCCACGTTATTTGTACCTAGGAAGACATGGTAGAGTGGCGCCCCCACATTATCTGTACCTAGGAAGATACCGTAGAGTGGCGCCCCCACGTTATTTGTACCTAGGAAGACATATAGTACAGTGGCGCCCCCATGTTATTTGTACCTAGGAAGGCATAGTACAGTGGCGCCCCCATGTTATCTGTACCTAGGAAGACATAGTACAGTGGCGCCCCCACGTTATTTGCACCTAGGAAGACATAGGAGAGTGGCACCCTCACGTTATTTGCACCTAGGAAGACATAGGAGAGTGGCGCCCCGCAAAATTCTCGCACCATGCAACAGGTGTGCTACCCTGACGTTACACTCACGTTTGTCTGTCACTCCACAGTTAAGCCAGGCATCCTGCAGTCGCTGAAGGTGTTGGGCGACATAGTCATGAACGTGTCGGGAGAGGTAACAAAGACGAAGCAGCTCTGTTACCAGTCGGTGCATGACTGCGTCCAGGTCACACTCCACCTCTTCCCAATCTACATACATCATCCAGGTTGGTTAATCAGCACGAGAGTCAGCCATTTTTTCCTATTGCAAGTCATTTTCGTACCATGGCATATAAGATTTTGTATCCACAAGCACAGCGATTTTGTTTTGTACTTTGTAGAGATGGAATTGCACTGTTTTCCATGAGTGTGTACACTGTAGAGTTAGCAGTGAACTTCAAGTAAGTAGGAACATGTCATACAGGGACGAATATGGATAATATTAGTAACCGTTTTCTGCATTTCTTTCTCTCCACCAGATGTCAGTGAGGAGATGCTGAGTTTCTTCCTCGCATTGTTCCAGTCGTTGCGCGTGCAGATGGGTGTGCCATTTGCTGAGCAGATGCTAGAAACCTTTATCACTCTCTTTACAAAGGAGCGGCTAGCTGAGAGTATATCTCATGACAACCTCGCCGGCATTAGAGTTGTAGAAAAGTATGCTACTAAGTATAAAGGCGTCATTGTAACATATACACCCAATTGTTTCAATTATTCGTGAATCATTAATGTTCAAGACCACATCGATTCATTGAAAAATTGTTATAAAGCTGAAATAACTGTGCTGTCTGGTTTCTGGTGCTAAAATATTTCTTGGTGACTGCCAGCACTATTTTTATTTCAGATTTCTAAAGATATTGGATTTGATTGTTGAGGAGCCAGGGTCAGCCTTTAAAGGATTTCTACCTAGTATCATCTCTCTGTGCATGAATGAGATATATCCAATCATAGCTGAGGTGAGTGCTAGATATAGGGACACATTCCCAGCAAATTAACCAATCCATTAGTTAAGCACATCACGTCTTGTTTTTATGTAAGATGTAGATGTAAATATTTCCTGAAGAAATGATGTACGTCAACCTTTCAGCTATTATTTAATTAACAGGCGTATGTGGCAGGTAAAGTAATTATGATAAAAATAATACACACAATTATTATTCACTAGGTGTCTCGTCACACAGGAGGCATGTATAAGACATAATACTACCACATGAAATTAAAAAAGACAATTACTAATTGTAAATATAATATCACGAGTTGTATTTCACTTCTCTCTTGTACATGTATTTTGATCATGACGAAAGTGTTCTGTATGTCATTGCAGCGGCCATCGCCGGACGTAAAAGCAGCGCTGTTTGCCCTGCTGTACAGCATTCTACAAAACAACTGGCGCTATTTCTTCAAGTCAAACATTCTGTCGGGGTTATCGCCGCAGGCAGGCGCCGCAGGCAACAGCGAGAGCGAGATGGAGCACCAGGACCAGTTCACGGCCGTGATGCAGGCATTTGGGCAGTCGTTTCTGCAGCCTGACATAGCTGTGTTCAAGCAAAACATTGAGTACCTGGAGAAGCTGAATGCCAAGTGGAAGCTTTATCACAAGGTGGTACTGCTTTATAGGATACTGCTCACTTATCAAACATTCAGCATTATTATAAAAAATATCACTACTCCATATTTCACTATTTGTAGGTAAATTGTGTTTATTCATGCTATAAACCTATTTGTACCTTTTAGAATTTAATAGTTATGACTCCACTAGACTGCCTTGTAATTTGAGTATTTCAGCAATCTAGATGGTGCAGGATGATTTCTTGCATTGCATACATTTTGTGTATATTACATCTGTCTACCTAACAATGCTGAGCAAAACATTTTTTCTGTTTGAAAGAAATGTATGTTAGATTGAGTGTTTTCTTTATTCGTTTCAGCCAATCTTTCAGCAGATGATGCTCTTCCAGTTTCTAAATGTCCTGCTGCAAGTACTCATTTACAGGTAAATCCTTTCTGCCATCTCATTCTAATATCCAATTCCAATGAACAATTCCAATCCAATAACCAATTCTGCTTTTTTCTAATAATCACAGATGGCGCTGTACATATTGTAACTAATGGCTAGTGGGTCAAGCCCGGCGCACACGTGAGTTATTTTACTCAAGTAAAATGACGTACGAGTCATTTTACTCACGTGTGCGTCGGATATTCGTTGAGTAATTTGACTCATGCGTCATTTTACTTGAGTAAAATAACTCACGTGTGCGCCGGGCTTTAGGCACCGTTTTTAGCTCAGCTGACGAAGACAGATGCAGCTTATAGAATCGCATGATTGTCCGTCCGTGCGTCCGTCAACAGTTGGGCACAAATCTTAACCGCTCGACGTACGGTCTTGATATTCGGGACGTCAGGGGGGGGGGGATCGCGAAAAGGACTCGGGGTCAAGATGTGTCAATGGAGGGGGAATATTTCCTCCTTAACTTAAGGTATAGGAGGAAATACGGAATTGCGGCACAAATCTCAACGGCTCGACCTACACTTTTAATATTCGATGTATAGTGTGAGGGGGAGGAAACCCATCACCAGCGCGAAATTGGAGGTCGCAGGTCAAAGGGCAGTGGGGGAAAGGTCAGATATCAGACATTTTCTGAGGACATGGTCTGACTCCAACGGACCTAGTGCAAAACTTTTTTGTTTCAGCGCTGACCTACCGTTTTTATCACTTTATTGAAAGGACCATGAAATCTACTTTCCGCTGACGTGCGAAGAGTAAGTGTCTGATAACCGTTTGACCCTCAAGAGAAGGGTTAAACATGGATTTGTTGACAGTTAACAAAGGACTGAACTGCTTTTGCTATTAGAGCCCCCTCCCCCTCCACCCCTACCCCCTACCCCCACCCTCCCCCACCACCACCACTACGCTCACGCTCGACGCATATCCATGATAACATGTTAATATAGTGAAGTCATTAAAGTTACACAGCTGTATCTTTATTACTGTACTACCAGTAGGTATAGCAAAGCCTATCATAGATTTTAGGTCTGTATTAGTAGTATCCTAGATATATGCTCTGAGCGCAAACGCGGTGGCAGGAGGGCGCACTTGATTCGGTTGCCAGTGAGTTTATCAAAAGAATACCTGGCTACAGTCCAAGCCAGTTGAGCGCTGTCGCTCTGCGGCACTTGTTGAAGTTATAGGTTTCACGTTTGCCCCAATGACTTTCAGAAGACATGTCAGGTGAACATGTCACATTCATCTTCAATTGCTAATTGGAGTCAATTAATTTAAGTGTGTCATAAGCAGCTCCAATACACAGGTAAACTCAATCAGTACGGAGGCATATACATCAAGCTGTAAAACCAGCATGCCTGTATCATTAACACAGCTGGAAATTAAGGCATGTTGGAGGATTTACTTGACATCTTAGATTAGTTTCAACTTTGAAGGCATGTCAACCCGACATGGGGAGAACTCTGGATAAACGTAGTATTACTATTTTATTTATATAATCTTGTACATATATGTGCTTGCTCTTTCCTTTCAGATCACACGATTTACTTCAAGAAGAGATCATGGTAACTGTGTACAACATGGCCGCCGTAGATTTTGACAGGTTTTATAATATGTTCCTACACCAGTTCTTAGCAAATTGTGAGGGCTTGGATGATAGTCAGAAGACCATGCTGGCTAGAAACTTCCCCATCGTTCAGGTAAATTTTCGAGGCGGGAAAGCGTCAAAAACATCTGTAATCATCTCAGTAACATTCATGTATAAAATACAGATTACCTATGAAGCTAAAGATAAAGCTAGCCATCCAAATTGTAATTACATACAATAGAATCTATTACGTTGACTTTCTCATGAAATCAACCACAACACTATTACCACTCATATGCGATGTGTTGAGTTTCTACTAGTATTTATGAACATCTGTGGAATAACACGTGTTAAAATAAGTTTTGTTCAAAAAATGCAAGTTGTTGCTGACAATGTGGTTCTGATGCAATTTTTGAACTTTGCAGGATCTTCCTTCGCTCAGCAGTACTATACACAGATTTGTGGGAGATCTACGCTACTACAGGCTTTGCAACAGCAGCCTACCAGAGGGCAGTGTCAAATTCTAGCCATTCACACATGAGAACTATCTAAACATCGTCAAATATCAGTCACCGTGATTTTAAGCTGTCTAGTTGATTTCAACTTTGGCTCAGATGGCAAGTTGGTGAGAAAACCACTTTCAAATCTAGGAGTGCAAGAAACATAGTCCTACGAATGTCATATCGAGCCGATTGGACTGTATCGCCACAGGCCTTATTACGTATCGCAACGGAGTTCACAATTGCACTCACAAGCAGCTGCGGATATTGTGTCGAATGTCAAAATGACAAGATAATGCTGTAAATACTGTTGATGTTATGCAAAGTATACTGCAGTGGAGTAGCGTGTTACATGTATCAGCTCCATTAATTGTATTTAATTGATTAGCAAGCACACCTTGTTGTTCAGCGAACTCGATGAGGTGCTGATAAAGTTGATGCTATATAAATGAAGAGTGGAATAGGAGATAACGCTCACTGAGATATTTGAGAATCTGTTCTCAGGAACTCCTTACAGGCTTAAAATTAGTTGCCAGTGAAAGCTGTCAATTTTGTTTATGGCTGGCAGGTTATGAGGTACCAAATTATGCACATCAGCCGAGCTGTAATCTTTTGTAAAGACAATTATTCATAACAGTAAATAATAATAGGTTAGCTGGGCAGTGATTTGTAAAGAGTATAATACCTTGTAAGGTGCCATGTACAGTTTATAAATTATTTTTGTAAATATATTGATGCAAGATGGTGTGTGTTTTACATCACTTATATTTTATGGGTTTTATTACATATATGGAAACTCTTAACACACTGTGGGGTTTAATACATTTTTTATTCAAATATTTGCTTGATTCGACATTATAAAGCATAGTATTTGTCAAAGCTGTTATTTTTAAGTGAAACTATTCAAATTATGCACGCTTTCCCTATGATTGTACATAGGATGCAAGTCAGTGAATGCTACCCATGCAAATGAGTTGCTAACAGATATGACTACGACAACGTGAAAAGAATAGACCTGCTCGCTCTGAAGTGTTTCTGCTCAGGTAATAAGCATTTAAACCTAACTTTGAAATCACACAGCAGCAGGTAAAGGTTTAGGTGAGAATACCCAAAAGATGTTGTACTTTAGACAGTCTGATCTTGCAACATTTAGAGAAGAGATTAGTGCACAGGGGCACGCTACCATGAAACATTATTTCTCTAGGACACCTGCAGTTGACATCCAACTTGTCTCTTTGGAGGTGGTTCCGCAACTCCTCTAGTGTTGATATGAGAGATTTCTGCACCTGGCTGTCCAGCTTAGGACGACGTTGTTTACTTGTTAACACCTGATGACGAAGAATGCATAAAGCGATAAAATTTATCAGGAAATCACATTGTAAACGATAAACCCCTCATTGTTAGTTCACATTCAAATTCAAAAGGTAAAACCATGAATATATATATCTATACTTATAAATATACTTTTGTTCATGTCAGAACACACACATGCACGGCGCACTCCTGAAAACCTTGGCTCAACCCCATGTCGCTCGAAACACGATTAAAGATTTTAAAACCTGGAATACCTTTTCTATAAGATCAATGCACGTGCTGCTCTCTTTTAGCTGAAGAAGTCTCTCTACGTGTGTGCTGTTCAACCATTGAATACTCCATAATATTAGTTTGTCAATGGTTATGCTCTCTACATTTCTTTCAACCAGCTAAGGAAGGAAGAGAACACATATAACTTACTCCTGATATTATAGTACAAAGAACCTGCAATCTATCTCAACATCTAAACATAGTAAACTCATACTTTTCTTCTTAACACGCCGCAAGATGGCGATGCGGCATACTAACCACAGCTAACCATGTTGATCTATATTACTAACTATATCACCGACTGCCTGTAAGGATAACAATGATAATCTTTGAAATATTGTGAAGTATTGTATAAATTATACTATTACATGTACAAAAGATTCGTGTTAATACTATAATAGTATTCACATTTACTAAAAACATTAAAATAAATATTACACACCACAGATCTTTTATAATTTGTACTGCAGTGTATATATAGCAACAATATATGTAGGTACTTTGTAGGTCCGATGGTTATGAGCCTCATACAAACTGAAACCATACACAACATAAACCCAATAACTGTAATTGACCTACACTTTTCGCACAGTACACCAAGCATGATTTATTTTTAATACAGACATAATCATTCGTCCCTACTCGTACCGCATATAATATAATATTATACCTAATAAAGAAAACACTGCCGTACAGTGCATCTACAACAAATTCATTACATCATATCATTTATATAAATTCACATGACTGTACAAATGTTGCAATTACTTAGTGCACTTGTTACTGGTTTTTGCTTAATATATATATTGTCTGGATCTGCATTGGTAATATGTGCATAAAATGGTCAGAATGGGAATTCTCGAATCTGAATGCGCGTACAAGTGAGTACATAACTCGAACAGGGGCTCATGTGTAGTAGCAAAATCACGTTGCAGATGGCACTGTGATAGCAGCTGTAGGCGGGAAACCCACCACAGATTCTCTGCGCGTAAATAGTGGTCTTATATATAGCGAAACAACCACACGTTTAATGGGGCGTCCGATGGTTACGAGTTCCATACTGACCAGATTTAAGCAATTGAACCTAAGGCACGACATAACTTGTACATTCGTACCTCGTGACCGAATTTGACTCCTCTTTTACATTTCGTAAAAAAGACGACTAAACATGCATGCATACATGAAAAGGGGTGGACACACTATAGGCGATTTTTCATGCGGTCGAGCCGCCCGGTGTCGCGCGAAATATCTGACGAGGGACAGCTCGTCTTTGTGTTACGATAGGTTGTGTACACTTGAAGGTTTGTGTAAAATACCAAGTTCTGGTACAGGGTAGCGAAGGAGCAGTGTAGGGAGGGAGGATGAAGTTTAGAGTAGTAGTAGGTGGAGTAAGGAGAAGCTAGTGAAGAATGCGGAAGGGGAGAAGCTGGTGGAGAAGGAGGAGGACGAGAAGCTGGTGGAGAAGGAGGAGGGGGAGAAAGAAGAAGCGTGCTGCGGCGGCATTTCATTGATGTACAGGGGGGGCTGGGTTGGCAGATTCTCCCTTCTCCCCTTCCTTCTCCACCAGCTTCTCCCTTCTCCCCTTCCTCCTTCTCCACCAGCTTCTCCCCTCCTCCTTCTCCACCACCTTCTCCCTTCTCCCCTTCCTCCTTCTCCACCAGCTTCTCCCCTCCTCCTTCTCCACCACCTTCTCCCTTCTCCCCTTCCTCCTTCTCCACCAGCTTCTCCCCCTCCTCCGCCATCTTCTCC